GTTCAAATCTTCACATTTTGGTCCTTTTCGCTCCAAATTTGCTCCTTTTTTGTATATTTTTGCTCCCATGACCCTAATTCATCATTCCTGCAACAAAACATCAAAAATATCTTTCTTTAAAGTGCAATATCATTAAAAATAGTATAAAATAGGTATGAAAATCTCAACATATTTTCCTTTGGTCACGAGGTCAACAGTAGAATGTGAGAGAGAGCTCAAGATGAATAAGGTGAAGACCAGGTTTCCATCTGAAATGGGTGATTCTATTGTCAATGATGTCTAAGATGTTGGAGAAATTCATCCAGTTATGGAGAAGGCCTCTAATACGACCGAGGGGCATCCTACAAAGCTCTGGTCACACAAACAATCTTCTTTCTTCTTTAAAAGATTGAAAGATGCCAAATGATTGTCTTACTAAGCTGAAGAGAGAGGTGAAGTCTTATTGCTAAACTAGAGACTAAGGAGCCTTTTATTGACTTGAAGTTTCAAGAAAAGAGAACAAAATTTAAAAGAGATATTGCTTTTATTTGCCAAGATTTGAAGATTGCGTCTTGACCCGACCCACAATTACGTAAATATTTATGTTCTGAAAGATGGTCAAAAACTTGACCCAATTTATATTCAGCAGCTAGTGTGCAAAATAAATATGTTAAAGAATTGATTAATAACTTACACACAACGCAAGTATACACATCATTTCAGGTAATATAGAGCTTTCTTTAAAAACTTCAGTATTGAACTCACAAAGAATAAGTGAATTTCTATGTCAATTTAGAAATATTTCTACTCAAACTGTAAACAAAATTTATAGGAGAATAATATCAAAAGGTTTGTAAAAAGGTATAAACTAAAGTTTTCTACTTCTAAATACAACTAAAAGTAGATGCAAAATTTTATAATAAAAAATTTTTCCTCTTGCAAAAAGATTGTAATCAGTGTGGGAATCAAATGCTTAAAGATGAAAATAAGGTTTTGAGACAAATAAGAGCATATTTATTCTTTACCCTCTCTTGAGTGCATAAAGAATATTGGTTAATCTAAAGTTAAGTTTCTGATTGATATGGTTGTGTTGAGTAGATTCTAGCCTCTCACTTCCAGATTAACCACTGTGCCCTCTCTATAGGGCCTACCAGGCCTCAGATTCTGAACTAAAGACCAAATTGAAAATGGTTTTATCCTGTCACTCTAGAATTATCAATTCTACGTCCATCAAAACTTATCTCCCCATCTATTTGCACTACCCCTTGGACGTGACATCCCCTCCATCCAAGGTTTAGTGTGGTACTCACTAGTTGGGTAAAATCATAGTTTCACAACAAATTTTAGCATCACAAATGACCAATTTGCAAAGTAAATTAAGAACCGATGAAAATATCATCACATATTTTTGGAATAAAAGAAATGTTCAATACATTCTAACCCCACACATGATCACTTCTTATTGCAAGAAGAAAGAAAAGAAAACTATATAAAATTCATGGGGATAACAAAACAATACATGATATATATTAAAAATTGATTTTAAAAAACAAAACTTAAGCAGAAGTACAAATACTTATCTCAAAATTTTTCCCAAGCAATCCTCTAAAGTTTCTTGACTGAACTTGACTAACACAAGACTGAACAAACACTCAGCGGGCTCCTATTGGAAATAAGTGGTAAACCATGAGCAAACATGCAGTAAGTGGTATACAAAATGTATCATTGAAAATAAGTGGTAAATCTCCTCAAGCTCTCAGCGGGCTCCTATTGTATTTTCAGGAGTGCTTGCGATCTTTCTGAAGATTTTTGTGCACTGGGGAATTGAGCCATGAACAATTACTTGAATACACAAAAAAGTAAATGCTCCTATTGGTAGGTGGTTGAACCAGTGCAAAGCTTATTCTTTCAATGCAAAAAATATATATTTCAGCATGGTGTTTATCCTGAGTAAACAGGCAGTTGATTTGAAGGAAGTCTGGTGGTCGATGGGATCAGATTTCCCTTTGAAATTTTTTAGAGATAGAACCATAAACATCTTTGATGCCTCGTCTTCCAAAATCTCCTTTGAGAAGGGGATTTCTGCTAGTCTTTGCCTTCTCCTTTCTCTCCTTACTTTTTCTTTGTGGTAGTTAAGAGAAAACTTTCATTTTCTTCTTCTCCCTTCTCTAATTGAGTCTGCTCAAGTCCTTCTAATTCTAAATGATGGAAATAAATGATGCTTAATCTTTCTCATTCAAAGATTGGGTTGAGAACACTTCTTACTTTAGCTCTAGGCAAGTTCTGGGCATGTGGTTCTTGCCTCGGCTATTCTTGTATTGTACCTCTTGTCCTAGTAATTCTTGTTGCGGTGGGTGCCTATCCTCAACAATTCCTAACTACGAGTAACTGAACTCAATGATATGGTATACATTTTGGATAGAGAATAGATTCGGGAAGCTTTCCTCATGTCATCCATTTCTTTCCTCATTAGTTCTCTCAACTCATTGATTGTTTGAGTCACGAACTACCTAGCACAATGCATCATTCTCTGAGGGTGTTCTTCATATAAGAAGGGTCTTTTGTGTAGAGTTTTTGTATGACATCTTTTACTTTACGTTGCCTTTTTTCGGTCTCTTGATGAAAAGACTGTGATGTGGACATCAGGTATTTCATGTACAACAGACATCCGTGGTACCTGGCTGAAAAGATTGAGTATCAAGTGTTGAATGACATCGTTAATTAGAGATTATCAGATCATCAAGCAGGCTCGATTGAGCCACTTCGCCGGGTAGGTTCGATCCAGTCACTTATTGAGTGGGCTCGATTTAGCCACTTGGACGGATGTGCTCGATTTGGTAAGAGAAATTTAACGAAAATGTATGTATGCTCGTATTTGTATATACAAATAATAATAATAATAATAATAGCAGTAATAATAATAATAATAATAAACTCCATTCAGTTTTATTAAATTGGAATAAGTTATTAATAAATTCAGCTAATTTTATTATATTATCAATTCAGCTAACTTTAATAACTAATAAATATTATTAAGAAAAATAGAATAAATTTTAAAAAATGACCATAAGAAAGCTGAGATAAATCAAATATTAATTTTTGTAAAAAATAATAAATTAAATGATTTTAAATTCATAGATGTATATCTTATTTTAAGCTTTATTTGTAGGAATCAATGCAATGGTGCTTGCCAGATTGACGTCGTAAATGAACTTCGGTATATTTTTAATATATGATTATGTTATGTCTCTTTCAAACTAATTTCATTGCACAATGTTATTCTAGTAGTATATAGTCTTTTATTTATTGGTCATATTGAAGTTAATATTACATATTTTTAACAATACTTAATATCACATATTATTTTAAAATAAATAGATTATATTAAATTGAATGTTATCGATACATGAATAACGCAGGCTATATAGAATGCTTGCATGTGCATGTTGAATATGATGATGTTCACCTCCCCATGAT